CCCCCTTCCCCCCACCCACAGATTACATTTCAGACGATTCTCCGTGACATCATGTGATCCGTGTGTGGCCAGTTTTAGGATCTCGTGATCTCAGCTTACGTTACACATTGTAATATCAGCAAAATGAATTGGCGTTTCTATCGGAACCAGAACATCCGCACATTTTGTTACATTGTTGTTGTAATAAACTCGGTTTTATTTATTATTTTACCAGAATTTGTCTCATTTACAATTTGGACTTTCATTGCAGGAGGGATCAGTGGAGACGTCCTGATTGACATCGGCTCCGGGCCCAGCATCTACCAATTCCTGTCTGCCTGTGAATCTTTTCCTCACATCATCGCCACGGATTTCACCGACCAGAACCGGCAGGAGCTGGAGAAGTGGCTGCACAATGACCCGGAGGCGTTTGATTGGTCGAAAATTGTGAAGACCGCCTGTGAGATCGAAGGGAAGAGGTAAGAACAGAGAGCTTGTGTATATATGCTGTGTGTCCCACGTCTTCCCAACAAAGGGACGGACAGCAATCAACACCAGACACATCAGGGGTAGGTCATCTCGGCACTGCATCTGTTGTGGAACTACAAGTCCCATGACCATGAGGCATTGCAAGACTCCGTTAGCCACAGGCATGTATCCCAGAGGCAGACTCATGGAGTGCTAAGGTTGCCTACGTGTCTCCTCTGCCCCAGTCATCAGTTTGTTGCAGATAGAAGAAAGCATTTCCTCAGTCTCCCCTCCCCCAGTCATCAGACTGCTGCGGGCAGGAGGAAGCATTTCCTCAGTCTCCCCTCCCCCCAGTGATCAGTCTGCTGGAGGCTATAACGCTCAGGTGCGGCTTTAAGGGTTGGTATGGATCGCAGCTTCGGTTAGTAGGCTAGATTGGTTTTCTTTTAACAGTTCCTTGGCAAACATAAACTGATATATATATATGGAGACAAGGTTCTATTTATGAAGCTTAGTACTTTAATATGTTTGGGTAGACAGGGTTGAATTGGAAGCAAATGGGTTTAGGCAATTAGCAGAGTCACAGTTCACAATGCAAACAGCTGAAGGTATTAAGATGATATTGCAGTTTAGGCAGTCCGAGGTGCTCTGCTGCCACCCTGTGGTGTTAGAAGGGAATTGCAGGTCTCCAATGAAGAGGGTTTGTATTATTATTACATAGTATTTATAGAGCGCCAACAGTTTGCGCAGCGCTTTACAATATAAGGAAGACATTACAGTTACAATACAATTCAAGACAAGATGGTAAGGAGGGCCCTGCCCTTGAGGGCTTACAATCTAAAAGAGGAGCGGGAAATGATACATGAGGTAGATGTGGTAGCTGTGGGAATGAATTATGTGAGAATGTGAAGGTTCAGTGGTTAGGTTGAGGTGGGATAGGAGATTGGGATTGTATGAGAGGTGATTTCACAGGAGAGAGGCTGGAAGTGGGCAGTACAAATGGAGTGGCTGGTATCAACAGCGAAGAGGGGCACTGTCCGGCCCAATAGAGGTGGAAATGGAGGGGCTCTGTCCTGCCCAATATGGAGAGTGGGGTAGTTCAGCCGCGGAGGTATTTGCCTGGCGTCAGGCTCCTAGCACGAACGCCAGGCAAATGGCTCCGGCGGTTTAAGTAGGGAAAAGAGGAGGAGCCCGGCGACGTCGCCGTTCGTGACGTCACCCGAACTCCGACGGAGCTGATCGTGATGCCGGAGCCCGGCGGAGAGGTAAGAACGTTACAGAGGCAGGAGGAAGCATTTCCTCAGTCACCCCTCCCCAAAGATGGCTCCATACTTCTGGAGAGAAATGCAGATGAAGGCAGAGTCAGGGAGAGTCCAATGGTCTCTTTGGAAGGTGATTAATACCTGGAAGTGTTAGTATGACACATTACTTAGCACGCTGCACTCTATGTGATAAAATGCATCTGATGACATTAAGGATTCACCTAGTTTACTATTTCATGTCTAAAAGCAGAGACAAGTGGGAAGAGAAGCAGGACAAGCTGAGATCCAGATTACGGAAGGTTCTGAAGTGTGATGTGACGGAGAGTAATCCCCTGGGTCCTGTAGAAGTCCCCCCTGCCGACTGCCTGACAACCTCCTTCTGCCTGGAGACGGCCTGCAAAGACCTGGAGGCGTATCGCCGCGCTATTCACAATATCACAAAACTGCTGAGACCCGGAGGACACCTGGTGGTCCTGGGGTCCCTGGGGAACACCTACTACACAGTGCAGGGGAAGAACTTCTCCTGTCTTCCTCTGGATGAAGATGATGTGAAAGGAGCCGTCACCCAGGCTGGATACACAATACAAAGCGCGGAGGTGTTCCAGATCTCCGATAGAATGGCTCAGCTCCAGACTGCCGACAGCGTGGCCAACATTGTTCTTGTGGCCAAAAAAGAGGCAGAAAATGTAACCGGCTGATAATATGAAATGTAACAAAGTGTTTAACATTCACCGCGCTGATGAAAGATATACGTTGTGTGAAAGTGTAATCGTCCATTATAGAATAAAAGTCAAAACAATATCCACCTGTGGCCTGTAATCATTCTAGATCCTTGGTTCTCAACTGGTGGGTCGTGACCCAAAAGTAGGTCGCGACCCCATGTTTAGTGGGTCGCCGCATGCCTTGCACTTTTCTAGGCGAGAGGCTCCTCAGCCAACCTCTAGCGCGGCAATGTCAGTTCTCGCGCCAAGCAGCCATTCAGAATATGCTGCCCGGTGCCAAGTGTCAGCTTGAGGTGGGATAGGATGGGGCTATGGCCATGAGGGAGCTCCATTCATACGTGCATTGCTTACAGCTGCGTGTGTCCTGTAGAGGTGCCTGGAACAGAGTAACGCACTGTACCATGCAATCACACCTACTACACGTTCTGGTGTGGGAGGTGTGTTGCGTTGCCATTCATTTTAATGGTACCCCAAACACACCTCCCACCCACAGTTCGATCGCCCGCACCGGAACGCGCAGTACAGCAACAATACCGTGCGGTCCATTGCAGTGGGACTTGGGTCGCGATTTAATGACCGAGGACAAATGTGAGCACTGTGTCCTGAGGTTACACGGGTTGAGAACCACTGGTCTATATGATATCTCTCCATCCATGTTATTGTCTGTCTATCTATCTATCTATCTATCTATCTATCTATCTATCTATCTATCTATCTATCTGTCTATCTATCTATCTATAATCTATCTATCATTATCTCTTTCTTTCTATATCATTCTCTTCATCAAATTATCTATCAGTGTAACTTTGCCTGAGTCCATTCATCAAGGGGTTTCCCCTTTTGAATTATGCCTAAAGCCCTGATGAAGGGGGGGGGGGGGCTTATTGTGATTTGATGGAGGTCAAACTTGGCAGACATCTGATCTATGGCGTCCTCGGAAGGGGTAATGTGTGCCATTGGCCCTCTGTGCCTCATGAGACGGGAGCATGGTATGTATGTGACCAATGTCTTCTGACACCATTGAATATACCCTTGTTAACGTAGAGCCTCCAGGTCAGTTGTTATAGGTTGTGTGTATTTGGGGACTTTTACAGGTCATGTGACTCCAGACTATCCATGTGGATTATACTAAATAGCTTTACAACACCTATTACACTCTGTCACCTGATGAGCGTTTAGTGTTCTTGCTGCCAGACTCCACTAAGTGCTCATACGATGGCCATCAAGAGGTTTATGACGCCGCTTGGGATAAACATGTTGTGATGGAATGTGTGTGATAGATCTCTGGTTATCGGGGTTCTGCTAATGAACGTTATTACAATCTTGTTCATGGCGATTGCTGGGGTCTCCTGAGTCTGCCAACACAAATTCCTTCAGCTCCAGTCCAAGATTTCACTCTGGATTGGAAGTTTCCCTCTCTGGTGCTTCCCACCACATGTGACAGATTGAGACTCACCTCTGGAAGCACTGAACCCCAAATCACTGCCCCAAACAAGGGCTGATGTCAAATGTATTAAGGGATTAGATTTCCCTTATCCCCTGACATCCCTAATAACACCAATTAATAAGTAGTAAAGGAGAACAAACAGGATAGAAACTCCACATAAATGTTGATGACATTTTAATTTTATATTGAAATAAAGACCAAAAAAAAGGAAGAAGCAGTCCAGAGTCCTCCCCTTTGCTGTGATGTTTGGCTTCAGTCCAGAGATTTTTGATGAAGTTGTTATATTCTGGAACTCAATGTCCTCAGTCTGCTGTGCAGGATCATTCCCCCCCCACCTCCTGTGAGCTCAGCTCATCCTGGACCCAT